TACTCTCCTCTCTTCTCTCTCAAAAACTATTCAATCAGACTTTCTTTCTTTTTTAAATCATTGGAATCCAACGATCAATTGCTTTCGTAAAGGAGAAGATTCTGGTTCATTTCTCTCAATCTTGGTTCTTTGCATCTCTCTCTGTTTTCTTCAACTGAAAGTCCCTAATGTTTTTCTCTATCCTCAAACATGCCTCAAGACTGCTTTTCCTTCGGATGATCTGGGTTTGTTTTGATCATAATAGTCTGTTTTCTGTTATCTGTATTGAGCCATAATTAGGAACTCACCTCTAACTCGGCCCCTAGCCGAGGCGAGTTGCTCGGCCGAGACCGAGTGAACTCGGGTGAGTCCTGTACAAAGCCAAAAGCCTCCGATAAACTAGAAAATAAGATATAGAATTTTGAAAAAATAAAATGAAGATACTAAAAGAAAACCCCAAAAAATTTAAAAACTCCAAACAAGCTAAAAAAAGTATAGAAAAAATGGATTTTTAAAGAATTGATTTATAGCATTTTAAAAGTCCAAAAAATTAAAATATAAAAATAGGGATTATGCCAAAAAAGAAATTTGCCCATCTTTGCCAAGAGATCCAAATTATAGAATAAAAATTTAAAGAACAATCCCATATTTTTTACAATTTTTTGGGATTTTTTTATGTAGTGCCATGGTCTCACCCCTCGCATAGGGCGAGGCCGAGTTACTCACCAAGTCCAAGCAGATAACACCTTGCTTTTCAAAAAATAATTTCTGGCAACCGCCACACAATTTAACAATTATGTACATTTTATCAGTTAGAATCTGATTCCTATCCTCACTACTACTATTGCTACGATTAGAAATGCTACAACTTTGGTTCAATTTTTTTTAATAATTTTATTGACTGAATTCAGGTTGAATGAGGAGATGATCGAGACACTCTTTGTCTGCAATAATGCGAACTCAGTTCAAAAGGACACAAATAGACGACTGGTCCTTCCTTCACCCAATCAAGAGAACCGAATCCTTGATCCAAAGAAATCTCAAAACATAGCTATACTCTTGAGGGCACTTAATGTGACTAAAGATGAAGTTTGCGAAGCCCTTCTAGAATGTAAGAATTGCTTTTGGTTTCTTTTAATTAGTTTCATAGATCACATTGAGTAAGAAAGTTACATCAAGCTGGTAATAATTCAACCAAATGCCTAGGAACTTGGCCACAAAAAACAGGACAAAAGAATGTACGAATATCATAACCTATTCATCTAGAAATCCACAATTATCTGTCCTCTTTAATATCATGGATGGAACATTAGATATTTAACTTTGTTAGGTAGTTTGATCCTTTTTTCAAATGCTAATTTGTTGATCTTTAATATGTGGACATATACTTGTGTACAGAATCAAAATGAGTGGATTTAATTCTCTGAGTGGATTTATTTCTATGAAACCAAAACTTTTATTTGTTGGAGATGGCATCAGATGAGCCGGAAGTTTCTAGATTGTTTTATCTTGTGAAGGATAGGTGTTGAGCATAGGAATAGAGATATTTTTTCATTACACAAACAATAGAAAGTCTGATACGACAATATCAAATGCTGTAGTGGTCTTTTTTTGTTATATCTTGAAAGTACTCTAGGCAGCTTGGCTCAAAGGCAATATTCCCTTGGGCAGCACATTCATAAATAATGAAATGCTATTATTAGGGTCTGCTTGAGTTAGAGCACAGTTTTGATGTATTAGTTGAGCATTTTTGTAGTATTTTGACTTCGTATTTGATAGGAACACTTGCTGTTTTGATTTGTTTAGGTTTTTGTCTCAGAAATAGATCAAATCTAGGAAAGGAAACAGAAATAGGAGTAACATGAAACACTATGTTCCTAACACATATAGATCTCTATCTAAAGCTCTACTTTATATTTATCAACTTGTTCATTTTTAGTCCCTTTATAGAGCAGGCCATGAAATCAGAGTTGCACTAAAAGCTCTTACTACCAAGGAGCAAATTCCTCTTGATCATGGGAGCTGTAAAAAGGTCACAAAAAGATAGTGTCCTACAAGACATGGAGTGTGGGGCTATGCATATGGGACATTAGAAAAGGGTTTCCATCTCTAGTTTGAATCATGTGGGGATTATCATAAAATGATGCGAGTACCCCATTGGAATTCCTTTTTTTTTCCTTTTTTGAATCGTTAAAAGTACCCCATTGATAAGATTCAAGGTCAAGGAATCACTCTCAGTTGGATGGAGAGGCAATGTCCTATATAATATGTTAGAAGATGATTTGTAAAGACAAATTGGGTCTATTGGAGGAGTTGGCATTCAACAAGACAAAAAGACAATGCTTCGTAGCAAAAGCATGCTAATATTTCTTTGGATTCTGCCCCAACAAGGAGTAATCAAGCTCAAATTTGACAGCAGTTCCATAAGGAATCCAGGCCCTGCTGGAATCAGAGGCATCTTCAGAAATCACACAGACAAGATTCCAAGGACCTATCCAGCCCGGTAGGCATAACAAGTGATACATTTGATGAGGCCCATGGACTTCTGGTTGGTATACAACTATTGGACAGAAGTTGGGGGTTGGCCTTATTGATCGTAGGCAATTCCTTAAACATGATCAAGTGGGCTAAAGAGTCCGTCCGATGTCCTTCGGACTGGAAAATGTTTTCGATTGAATTTTTTATATCTACCGATCCCCTCCAAGTGTCTTTTGCACACTCATGGAGGGAGGCCAGTGCTATTGCAGACTCCCTCGCCAAAGAAAGGGCTTTGATATCTAATCTTCTTATCACTAGACCACTATCATCAACACCTTCCTAATGAACAAAATTTGGTTTCCAGATTTTTGTACAAACCATACACACACCAGAATTTTTGTTATCGTCATTTTTTTGTTTTTTTTGAAGTTGACTGTTTTCCATTTACCTTTGGTCTGTTATCGTCATTTTTACAAGGGAATTTCTATATTTTTGTATTACTAAAAGTAAAATATATGAATACAACCATAAATCGTGTGTTAGAAATAAAGCAAAGCCAAATTTGTTATCGTCATATTTACTAGGGAAATTTCTACATTTTCGTATTTCTAATACAAAGAGTTGTTTTATCCAAAAAAAAAAACGTGTCGACGAGTGCCAAGGAAAGCATGTAATAGGTGAATTTAATATAAGTTTTTGGATTGAGAGTTCTCTTTAGAAAATTGGAGTGACTGGTTACTGAACCGGGTGGAGCTAGATTAGAGCTGTCAAGAAATCTCTTGAGGTTTTGATCGTACTTTATTGAAGAACTTGACCATTGCTGAACTGAAGTAAGCAGATTACTTTGGAGCTATAACAATATCTCTAAAGAAACATGATACCATTCCATAAAAAACCTGTATTCTAATCGGTGAGAGAGGATTGAGAACAACTAAAAACAAATGGAGAGGTGTGGATTTCATAAACATGGAATGGATACACGACCCCTCAATTGGGGGCTATAAATTTACAGAATCAAAATGGGTTGTGGCATGTGCTGCTATACTAATAAAAAATTTTGAGACACCAAGCATTGCAAAGGGGCTAGAAATGTCATTTGATGGATTCGTGGGGACTTGTCTATATGATTGAGGCTAGGGATGATCTTCGTAAATATTTGGAACTCATTTTCGTAAATATTTGGAACTCATTGCCTGGTTTACATATTATACTGATTACGATGTATCTAGTTGAGTCAAATAAATGGCTGATTAGTTGGCTAACGTTGACACATAGATATGCTTCTAGCGACATGTAGAAAGAGAAACCACCACAGATGCATTCTTAACAGGGTCACCTTGCACATATGAAGCAAAATATCAAGTCACCTTGCACGTATCAAGCAAAATGATGGTCAGAGAAGTTGCCGCAAACACATATGTCAAGCAAAATGAAATATTGCACAAGGTTGTTTGCATTATTATTGTTACAACTGAGCTTCAGGAGCTTCGTCCAATGTGTCTCTGCATGCATATCTAAGAAAATTCTGCATTTTTTTGCATGTTAAGAATATATAGGAAAGTGCCTTACACTGCACATCACTGGTAATTTGAGATGAGAGATATAATAAAAGAACCAGGTCTAGGAGAGGCAACATTGATATTTATCATAAGATGTTCAACTATAGATGTCATCGTCCTGAACTCTATTTAGATGAGTCAATACTTTGAAGATGATACTGTGTATTGTGTTTTTACGACGACTGCCTACGAAGAAGTTTGAAATGATATTTATAAGAATGTATTCATTTCAATATTTCATTACTCTTTGATCTTTAATATACTCGGTCTAAGAAAACTGGATCCTTGTTCTGCTGGAACAGGTAACACTGACAGCATCAGTTCTGAGCTTTTGGAGACTCTACTTAAGATGGCCCCAACTAAGGAGGAAGAAGTGAGACTGAAAAAGCAAGCAGATATATCAAAACTTGGGCCAGCTGAACGTTTCCTCAGTGCTCTCCTGGATGTCCCTCTCGCTTTCAAGAGGGTTGAAGTTATGCTTTACATGGCCAATTTTGAAGTGGAAATCAGTTATCTCAGGAAGTCCTTTGAAAGCCTTGAGGTAAATTACAGTCTTTCTATTTATGAATGAATGTTATTTCCTCAAAAGAAAGTTATGAATATGTGTCTTTTATTAGGATTCTTAATTTCATGTGGGCATGCATGCATGCATGCGTATATATGAGTGCGCGTGTGTTCCGTGATCTGGATGCAACCTCTGCAAAGAAATGGGGATTCAAAATGTTATACCTCTCAGATGCCTTAGGAACGCAATGTCAAATTATGATTTATTTCTTTAGAAATATTTATTTTTCTTGGAAAATCTTTGGGAAATTTCATGGGAAAGGAAACATATCTATACATTTATATGTATGCTTGTATGTATGCACAAGAATTTCTATGTCTCCCAATATTTTAAACCAGTGTTACGATACTCGGCTTAGTTGTCTAGACAATGGGCGAAGCTGTGTCGTGGAACACGCCCATCCTTATAAATGTGGTTAAAAATAAAAAAATAGAAAAAATGTAAAATTTTTGGGAAACACCAGTAAATTAAGTTAGAATTGAGTTTTTAGATGATTTTGGTAGTTTTTAATAGGGAAAATTACATAAATATCTGTTATAGTTTCCGTTATTACCAAAATACTAAATAGTTTCTGTTATTACTGGGAAGTCCATTTTTTGCATTTCATAACGATTTTTTTTAAAAAAAATCCCATTTTACCCTTTTTCAGTTTGTGAACAACCGAAATGGCTAGAATTTAGGTTTTTCAAAAACCGAAATGCACCGAAATAAGCCTCATTTCGATTCTTGAAAAACCGAAATAGCCCCGACAGTTTAAAAACTTCCGTTCTCTTCTCTGCATCCCGTGCTCTGTGTATGTGATTCTCAAAGCCACTCCTTTGTGCGTCTCAAAAAAACAGTCTCTCACAAAAGACCTTGCTCAACACATTGGACTATGCTTGTCTGAACAAAGAGAATCAGGCACCCCAGCGCCTTGGACAAAGAAGTTTTACATGACTTCACCCAACATTTGTTTGGTGATTCTCAGCTGTCTTTGGTCTTAGACGAAAAATCCCTAATGGCTAGGGTTAACTCTCTTTGCTGCCTCTTACAAAAGGATGTGTAATCCCAATTTTCAATTTCCACAGTCAAACTCTGAAGATGAATTTAGGGTTGACGGGAGAGTGTATGATGAGTCCGCAGAAGGTTCAGCCCTAACCCTAATCCTAGATGATAAGTGCTCATTGGGTCTTTTTCCTAGTGAGGCCCAAAATACAGATATTTCCTTTTACAAGCAACCAGCCGCTATGTTGAGGAAAGAGTCTTTTGGAGACTTACTGCTTCATATCCTTCGAATTGCTTCATACCCGAAGATACTGTTTGGTTTGCAAGAAGCTACAGGTGATCAAAACAAATGATTCTCTTGACCACAAGGAGTAGCTTTTTTGTGAGAGACTGTTTTTTTGAGACGCACAGAGGAGTAGCTTTGAGAATCACATACATAGAGCACGGGAGGTAGAGAAGAGAACAAAAGTTTTTGAATTGTCGGGGCCATTTTCGGTTTTTCAAAAACCGAAATGAGGCACATTTCGGTATTTGAAAAACCGAAAATACAACCATTTCGATTGTTCAAAAACCGAAAAAGGGTCACATGGGCATTTTTTTAAAAAAATTCGTTATGAAGTGAAAAAAACGGACATCCAGTAAATACGGAAACTATTTGGTATTTTGGTAATAACGAAAACTATAACAGATATTTATGTAATTTTCCCCTTTTAATATAATTTGAGAACTTTCATATTTTTTTCCCTTTTTTAAATTCTTTTGAAATATTCAAAATCTAAATCAAATTTTCAATAATCCATGTTTTATAGACCTTTTTTATTTTTTTAGTCTTCTAATGCTTTCTATAAGCTCTTTTAATTTTTAAATTTTTTTAACCATTTCTTTTTAACGTTTTTTTTTGGGGTTGTACGTAGCTCAGCCGAGTTCGATTTTTCTTGGATGTACACCTCAGCCAAGGGCCGAGTACCTTGGCCAAGATGAGTTTCTTTTCGACATACTGTCATATCTTCGGTAGCTTGACATAGCATTGCAAGGTTTCCATAGGGTTGGAGATAAACAATCACTAGAATCTAGACATTCCAATTGACATCTTTTTCTCGATATTTGTTTTCAAAGGTGGCATGCGAAGAGCTTCGTAGCAGCCGCCTCTTCCTGAAGCTGTTAGAAGCTGTCTTAAAGACCGGAAATCGCATGAATGTTGGCACAAATCGAGGGGATGCTCGAGCCTTCAAGCTCGACACCCTCCTCAAGCTTGTAGATATCAAAGGAACTGATGGCAAAACCACTCTCCTCCACTTTGTGGTCCAAGAAATGATACGGACCGAGGCCTCGCGCCTTCCTGACCATGAAGACCCTGCTGGATTCCGGTTGACGGAAAACCAAATCCCAACAAATGATGCTGGATTCCGGCAGCTCGGCCTCCGTGTGGTTGCCGGCCTTGGTGGAGAGCTCGAGAATGTGAAGAAAGCAGCAAGCATGGACTCTGAGGGTCTCAGTAACTGTGTCATAAAGCTTGCTAGAGGTCTCGAAGACTTCAATGGAATTTTGAATTTGTTGGAGAAAGAGGGGGGAGGGTTCTTCAAGGTAGGGTCGGAATTTTCTAAGAGGGCCGAGGCCGAGATTATAAGGGTACGAGCTGAAGAAAGTGTGGCATTATCACTCGTTAAGGAGATTACAGAGTACTTTCATGGTGATGCAGAAAGAGAGGAGGCGCACCCATTTAGGATATTTGTGATCGTAAGGGACTTCCTCTCGGTGCTCGATCGGGTTTGTAAGGATGTGGGGAGGCTTCATGATCGAACGGTTGTGAGCGCTGGACGTAATTTCCCTGTTCCTGTAAATCCCATGGCTCTGAATGTTTTTCCAGGATTCAGAGCGAGGAGGTTGGAGAGCTCTGATGATGATAGTGGTAGCTCGTCGCCTTAATGGCTGGAACCCAGTGAGTTTTCTGGTAAAGGGTAAAGATGGATTATCTATTTTTAGCTTAATTATGGCGGGCGATATGTTTGTTTTGAATGTAAAGTTGTGGATGTAAAAGGTGGTGAATTCTTTTTTGGGTATTTATATAATGAGGCGAGTATTCAGGGAAATAAGCAAGGGTGCAAGGCAATGCAAGTAGCCAGGAAAACCATGAGGATGAGCACGTATTCGGTGAGGCCGAGTTATGAAAAGCTTGCCGGATAGAGGGACAGATGAACGGAAACTGCCCTTAATTGGGGGACTTGATGTTCCCCACACGCCCGTGACATCTATCCTTGATCAGGCTGGAGGCCATGTGAGGGGCCACTGAATTTGTATCCTTGAAGCAGGCACATTTTGGGAAATGTAATGGACAGATAAAAGTAGTCACACAGAAGATGAAATGGGGAAAATTTACGAAGCCAAGGGTAGTTTGGCCGGGTCTTAGGATTTTGATGGTCTTACCATGGAAATATGTAAATTACTTCAGGCATGCTTGGCTATCTGATTGAACTGTGCTTCTTCACAATTAATTACATACAGTATATGTTTATCTATTTGTATGTATATCAAACTCCTGCTAATAATTGCCAGTTTTGAAAACTTTCAGCCTAGATATACCTATGTTAAATTTCAGCATAGGATTTCTTTCAGTTTCTTCTGCATTGATGGATTTTACCACACCTATGCCTTCATCGATTGTGAAAGAGAGCCATAAACAGAAAATGTGGAAAGGTCTTAACTTTATGACTTTCCCTTATTCTAGATCTTTAATGACATCTGTCTCTCGCGCACACACAAAAAAATGTGGTATTACAGAATTCCGAAACTATATTTTGTAAATGAGAAAGGTTTCTATACCTCTCCTGTAGCGTAGAAGTTATATACTTCCCCCATCCAGCCATCCAATTCAGATCTAGATCTAATGTCTCGGAGTATTTTATTTTCAATTTTTTTTTTTATAACTAATTGTATGAATATGAAATTTGGTATGTGACATCTTTTCAACGGGACACGTTTAAGAAAATATTAAAAATAACTTTTGATAAAATATAATAACCAAAATACCTTTTGAAATTTTAGGAGTATTTTGGTTATTTTATTTTATTAAGAATATTTTTTTTATATTTTTTACAAGTGCGAGTTTAAGAGAGCAGTAGGCATCCAATATTTTGTAAAAAACATAAAAAATATAAAATAAAATAGTATAGAGACATGACATTGTATTCAAAATAAACAGTTTTGAATAGACCATTGGACAGGGAAAGCATGTAAGTTTTATGCAGTAGGGGAAAAGCTTGCCCTTTAGTTATTTGGAAAATATACAACTCGACCCATCATGTCAGGTAACCTACAACATTCTTGATAAATGCACCCAACATTCGCAGCATTATTCCAAAAATTGTTTGTCCAAATCGTATTTGCCTATATCGGACGGCATTGGGAGGCTGGTGATTTGGGCAACTCATGCAACTTTGGCCGGAAAATCCTAGAATCTCCTCAATCCTCAATTCTTCAGTATTTATTTTCTTTTATTTTCATTTTTTGGTTAAATGCAGTCTGGTTTGCGGTGGACTTGGGATCAGACACGTATTCACATCTTTATCAAGTCACAGTTTATAAACGCCAGACACCATTATACAATATAGATGTGTATATTCACATATGCAAGAAACAATGCCAAAGAAACTGAGTCCTATAAATTGCACACAAAAGAAACAGACCTATTGCGATATTTTTACTAATATTGTGAGAACATGCTGACATAAGTTCCCATACTGTGTCTTCATGTAGGAAGCTGCAAATGAAAAATTCAGTTTTTCTGGGGTCAATCCTGACTGCTGAATCACATCCATCGATCCAATCAATCCGAAAACTCATGGACAGGATCTGCCTTCCAATTCTCCAAGATCGCTGAAGAATGCTTTCACGGATAAAGTCTGATGTACATCGTTGACAATCATAACAAATACTAGATCGGTCCCCAGAGATGGATGGTGATAAATGCTTAAATAACCTCTTTACTTTCCTTTTTTCTTATTTAAAATTCCCTGCGTAACAAAATGCATAATTAAGTGAAACCATACAGCATGAAAACCAATTTCTACTGGATTGGATATGAAAAAAAATTAGGAAACTACCCCCTAGAATTACGGCATTACTTTGAGATCAGTACTACCAAGTGTAAAATTGAAAAGAAGTCTGCCCCAATAGAATATCCAAGCTTTTACATTTCAATTTATTTACACAAAAGAATTAGTAATTTCGAAAAGGAGAAATCTTGCATCACATTTCTTAATATCATAACTGCAATAAGCAAAAACTTGATGCTTTTTTCACTCTCAGAGAGAAGAAAACAGCATTTGAATATTAAAAAACTCGTGCTCTCTTTTTCCTGAAAAAAGTAAAGAACTCTTTTATTCAAAGCCTAAAATACAGCATTTTAAAGAAAATAAACCATTTTCAAATATTTTGAACAAAACACGAAACACTGAGAAACATTGGGATTTCTAAGCAAAGTGTCCTCAATGACTGAACCCATCAATAGGAATGCAAAGATAATCCGTCACTGTATTATCAGGTATTGTGAGGACCTATCCAACCTTATCCCTTAATTTCAGTTTTCTTTTAATTCTTTATGCACAAAGAAAACATACTTCGTTGTGGATTAATATTATGAACTTTCAGCATCTCTGCGTTCAAGCACTCTACGGGCCTCTTCTTCAGTGGCGGGGACCACATTGCGAATTCTCAGGTCATCTTTCAAAGCATCTGGATTCACAGTGAATGTGAAGTAAAACGTGTTAGAGACCTGCGCATAGACAATAGATACATTGAGTGCCAAAGAAAGTCATATGTTACAACATATAAATAAAGAAGAAATTAACTGATCAATAAATTCTTGTTTTTGATTGTTCAGAATTAAGATCAATGAATTTTTATTTAAGGAAAAAAGTACAGTATGAAAGAATAACTCACATGAACTCTCTCTCTCTCTCTCCTCT